TCGTTCAAAGCCACTGTAGCCATAGTGCGCACTGCCTCAGCGTCTTCAAGTTCGTTTAGCCTGAAAAAAATTGGACTAAAGAATCGTAAATACTCACAGCATTGCTGTTTTCTTTTAACAGCCTGAAATTTACCGTCTAATGCCCGGAATGCTTCAAATGCCTCTTGAAGGCGCGTCTTACTTGTGATTCAGTCTCTTGAACAATGATACTGTCTACTATTGCTAGTGATTCTTGCTGTGCAGGAGCTCTATAATTTAAAGATGCTCTATATAACCGAATGGACTGAACCAAATTGTGTATGCTGCCTAGACCACCATTTTCCGTCAAATTGCATGACCGAGGCCTTCGCAATAAGTGCAATTGCTCCCTCGTCTATCCATTCCATGAACTGCATGCGAAACTCGGTAAGTTTGATCTCGAAAACCGCACACGCAACAAATGTAAAAAAGGGGAAAAGCATCCGTTCCTCGTTTTACCCGTGGTTCGATGTTTGGCTCCCCTGTCCCATCACATTCTGCAAGTAAGAAGAACTGTGTTACTAGGACTGCAACTTCTGTTACAAACTTTAGTGATCTTTAGCCTGTAACAGCTAGGCACTCTCGAACAGATGTTGGACAAAGGACAAGCGAACCCCATATTCAAGGTCAGAACTCAACACACATCCCAATCTGTTTTATTGGCAGGTTTTGCTGCTATTTGGTAGTATCTGCAGTTGCGGTTCTTGGCCTAATTCGCTTATCACGGGAAAATAAGTAAACTGTTACGAGTACTCTATTATAAAAAAATAATCAATCAATAATGTTGTCTTTCACCGAATCATTTACCTTAGACCAGCTCTATCTTTATGATGCCCTTTTTGAAAACAAGTAAACTGTTATGAGTAATTAATATGTTTTCTTTAGGACGAAAAAATTTACTTTAGCGCTAACCTCCTGAGTTTCGAGTAAAAGTAGAATCTTAAACTAAATCAAACTCACACCAATATTAGTTATATAAACATCAATGCATGGAAGCATTGATTATAGACATAGCGGTATATTTAAATTTGACAAACTTAATCCTAAACATTTTGATGATTTGTCAATATAGCCCTTCCTATCAATTTTGCTTGAAAATCGCTAATGTGGACGCCAACCATTTCAAGTGGCACCGTTGGTGCTAACGTAGACAAATATTGCAATTTTTAAAAAAAAATTCTCAATTATTTGTAATTTTTTTGTTTATTTTGCTTTTCTTTTTTCTTTTCCCATTGTGGCGGGGAGGGCGCCAGCAGTGACCCTCACCAGCGGTCGGCAACTCTCGCTAACCACAATGAAAAAAGGAAAAAAGAAAAGAATGAAAATAATATAATAAAATTATATAAAAATTACAAAAATTGTTCACGTCAACACCGATCGTGTCACGTAAAATGGCAGAGGCGTCCAAATCGGCAATTTTTGGCCAAAATGACTACATTGGTAAATTTTCAAAATGTTTAAAACTAAATTAATCGAATTGAAAAAATTAGAACCGAATTTACATGGGCATACCAAGCAATTCACCAAATAGATAACAAAAAATTCAGAGGAGCAGTGACTATTGAGTCCGACCGGGAAGGGAGAGAGAGAGAAAGTGAAAAAACAATTGTGATTGATCATAGAATCTCTCGTCTACTATAGAAACATTCCATCAGAAATCCATTTGCATTAATCTAATCCGAGTTATGTCTTATAGATGAGAAACATTCCATCAGAAATCCATTTGTATTAATCTAATCCGAGTTATGTCTTATACATCGTTAGAGAAAGTGAACGAAATCGTTATTCATGACTAGGCAAATTACCGTATCTCTGTTGTTTTGCAGGTTCATTCATTCAAATAGATCAAATCTTCAACCCCTTTTCTCTCAAAGTGTCTATTTTCGTTTCTTTGTTTTCGCATTCTTGTCTACATGACATGCTTATTCTCTGTAAAATCGCGTCGACCCCGTGAAACCAACACAAAGGCTGGAAATTACTCCAGCAACATACGGCGAAGTTGCCCAAAATCTGAGTCTTCTAAATCCCTCTGCACATGCAAGTCCATTGGTGCTTCATGAACATCGTGCTGTTTGGCATAACTAATGAGAAGAAATCCCACACAAATTACTAGCAACTAAAACAACGATAAAAAGGGCAAGGGCAAATTCTCTGTGGTTTACTTTTACAGTATTCTAATGTGTAAAAACACACTTCGCTCAGTCAATGACCAGACAACTTATAAAGGAGGGGTTTTACAAGCTTGGACTTACCAGTTACTCTGAATCTCGAAATCAAGAAAGACAAATCTGGCACGACTCCAAGCTGAGGCCCATCTGTTGCACCATTTATGAGGTCGCTTGACAGAAATATTCTGTTCTATTTGAGAGGAAGCAACAATATGCATGCTTAGCCAAAGGAACAAAGCTTGTGCGTATTACAACAAAAGGATGCATGAATATGTTTACCCCAGAAGGCTAACCCATACGGACATTGCAGTAACCTTGAAGTGCAATTCAGCTAAGTGACAAGAGAAAAGATGATAATTGAAATAGAACAAATGTGGATGAATCTGTACAAATCCAGACTCCAAAAAAATATAATCAGACTACTACATGGCAAACCAATGTTCCAGGATAAACACAACACCGGAAACATCAAACAAGCATAAAATAATAGGATCTGGCTTCACAAACCTATTGCTCTATCTGTCCAAATGATGGAAATATAGATAACATACACATCAAGTGGTTATCTGATTGAGAACCGATAAGAATAGGGTGCCACGTACCTGTCACACATTATCCTGAACCAACAAAAAGCTGTCACTAGTTTGCGGGAATTTTCCTGGCCAAGAATCTCATACTGAAAAAAATGTACAGTCAATCTACTGTGGTGGTAAAACCATGCTTTATGGTATTTGACTGTCAATCTCAAATACAAGATGAAGACGACTGATGGTCAGAGCAAAAGTTCAACCTGCAATAGCAAATACTCATTCTAATCGCAGTACATCTGCTATGTCTCTTTGGGATATAGATCTGCAGAAATAGTCCAAGTCTACTTATGGACAACAGGGCATTGAAGTGCTATCTGAACCAAACTTAAGGGTATTTTAAAACCCAAACCCGCGGACGAAGCACCGACACTAACCTTCTCTAAGGAAAAGGAGACGTCAACAACAATTTCCTAACAATTTGCCAACACTGAAAGTGCAGTGTAATGCTCACTCACGCAGAGTGTGATAGTTTCTCAAGGGCACGTAAATTCCGTAACAAGCTATGGCCAAGAACTAAGAAGTAAGACTAACAACAAACATGTTTCCAAGTTAAACGGTGGAATCACAATAATTCATTAGCCTTCAGTTCTTCCTTTCCTGCATATTCCACAACAAAGGACATGCCACACTTCTTTCAATGGGGTTGCTGACCATCATCACAAACACCCTATTTATATGAGGAAGGCATGGTAATATTGCCCCGAAAATTTCTGAGGAATGTAGCAAATGAGTAACCAAGGGGATAATGCACATGTAGAAAAGTAGATAGAAGAGATGAAATCAAATTTGGTTTGCATTAATTAAATTAAGCCTCGGGCAAGAATAAGAGCTTTCTTCAGATCGCGTACCCGATGATGGATACTTAATTGATTAAATGATCTCTTCACTTTCGCTTATTTTCTACAAGTAAAAAGTGCTAAATATCCAGGCTCATGAAGTGATTTCTTAAAAAACAGATCAGTGCTTAATGGGTGTACACCAAAACATTGATCTGCAAGGAAGAATAATCTTCCTCCTTTTCCTTTTTTCTGAAAAGTAAATTCACAATATCACTGGGAGCAAAAATCCTGCACTTTTTCAAAAGCAATGGTTCTCAAAAGAAATCTAGATAAAATTATTTTATTTTACATAAATATGGCTTAAAAAAGTTCTGCGGTAAACTACTCTGGACATTGACATCTTAGATTTGATTTGAAATTACTCAGCAACAGAATCATAATGTCCATATGCTGCTTATTCTTCTCTCTCTCTCTCTCTCTCTCTCTCTCTCTCTCTCTCTCTCTCTCTCTCTCTCTCTCTCTCTCTCTCTCTCTCTCTCTCTCTCTCTCTCTCTCTCTCTCTCTCTCTCTCTCTCTCTCTCTCTCTCTCTCTCTCTCTCTCTCTCTCTCTCTCTCTCTCTCTCTCTCTCTCTCTCTCTCTCTCTCTCTCTCTCTCTCTCTCTCTCTCTCAAAGGCAAATTACTTCTGACAACATTGCCAACATAAGTTGGGCATTTAATATTCTTCAGAAGACAGAGAGCCAAGAAGCATTAACACAAAGAACTGATAGATTGTCACTATAATCTGAATATAATGCATTGCGCTCGGCTATAGGTATCTCTTTTCTTCTGATATGTACATTAATCTCAATGCCCCAAAATTATCAAACCATGCTTCCAAATTAAGCCACTATAATGAAGTGAACACAAGAATTGCTGATGCAATCTCTGTGATAAGATTGAAAATTTAGATATAAACTGACATTTTCGTAACGGTTGAAAGCACAAGCTCTGTCATTAATAGGGCCAAATATAGACAAAAAAAAAAAAGACGGTTACAGCACTACACATCCCAAGAACAGTGCCAACCAATCCCGCTACGGATTGTTATATGTCCGGCAAAGTAACATCAAGCTAATAATCCATACCAAGAACAAAAAATCTTGTCACATAACCTTCTTTTGCACAATGCCTAAAAAAGGTACCAATAAAGTTGCAACACAACCAACGATGAGTAGTGGTTTAGGATCCAGAATCACATACCACTGTCCAAAAAAAGCTAGATGATCAGTGGATGAGACATGTGTTCCCCTCATGGTCATAAGACATAGGCAACACAAAGAGAAAAGTCTAACGGGCAAAAGAAGAGAGATTGACAGAACACCAAAAGAGCTTGAAAGCAGTCATGACACATATAACAGATACAACAGTTATAATGCCAATTGACAAGATAGAGCCACCCATATGTAGTATTGGAAGAAACTGACTAGAAGAGAGAAAGCAACAGAGTTAATAAGTAGTTACAAAGGGTATGTGCATAGGAACCCAATTTGGCTCTACTTTACAGGACTAATTAGAGACACAAGCAGCAAAGTCACCTAAAAGCATGTGAGAAGCCCCAATATTGTGTATACAGAAATTTACAACCCACTTCCAACTTTGAGAAGGGATGAATAGGCAAACAATTGTCCCAAAACTAAGTTAGACAGGATTTATGCAGCACTCGAGGATGCTACACGATCTCTTCATGCCTAAATCCACTATCCCCACAATCTGCACCAGTGTCCAACCCACGAGGAGAATCATACCATTTAGCATTTTCTTGGTAAAAGCTATCGACCTGAATACCAACAAGGCTTTCATCTCCAACAATACTTTCATCATGTCTTATGGGCTTACCTAGTTTGGTATCTTCGCAATCAAGTATGCTCTTATCATCGAAGTCACTGCACTTCAACCACTTCTCAGGCTTACAAGGCTCAGCCATCAGATCCTTTTGACTAGTACAGTCAGTCCTTATCTGCTCCCAAGAGACAACATCCCCAAGAGTCCCAAAACTGTCTTCATCATCATCTATCAATTCTGTGTCCTTTCCACCCCCATATAATTGTTCAGAGTGAGGATCACCCCAATGAGCCATGTCATTGTCACACACCAGCACATCATCTGAATGTGGCTTGTCTGAAATTAACCCAACAGACTTTGGTCCTTCTTCGCCTATTCTTCTAACTCTATTGGCAATATCAAACAGTTCGTGAGACACCGAACCCAATAGCTCTTGAGGCATTTTATAAATTCTTCCTTCCAACAAACCAAGCTCGTTTTTGAGTTCCTGTAACTGCTGCAAAACTGAAAGCTGCAAATCTCCATCATCCTTCCCAGTCAACCCGTACCCATCATTCTCCATCTCCTCACTCACCCCATAAACAGTGTCCTGATCCATCAAAAGCCCATTCTTGTGCCCAACAACACGGTGCATGATCCTTGCGTTTCCATCCAATGGTCCCGGTTCATGGCCCGAATGCACAGCATACAACTTAAACACCGCCATACCCTCCTCCTGATACACAAAAGTCTTATCCTTCTCATTGTAATTCGTAATGGGAACGATTGCCCTAATACGAAAACCACACCCACATCTTTTTGACACATAAGGCTCCCTCTTCAACATCCTCGACCTCTTCGTCGCGGGCTCCCCTGCCCTGTGACAAGCATAATCCTTTACTTCAGCCATGAATGGCTTATACCTAATATACTTCTGCCTAATGCAAAGCACAACTTTATGCTTCTTTGCCAGCTGCTGCAACCTACTGGGCACTTCCTTCGCAGGCACATCAAACGACTCTGTATACTCAAACCTACGACGCTTGCTCCTAATCGCGGACCCAGGCGACGAACTATTACACACCAGGCAGGCCGCAACACAAACCCTAATGAAACTCTCGGGGATCCCATAAAACTTGGCACCTACGGTCCACACCTGCTTAATCCGCTCTATGGTCTCCTTCAGCCCCAGATGTTTCAAATCAGCATCCCCATGGAAACTCATAACAATATCCTGCCACTGATTGATATGGGACACAAATTGCTGGGAATTATTCTTGAAGTACAGGAACTTATTACCGGTGCCGGGGTCAACATGGGCGGCGAGCTTCTCCTGGATGCGCTTCCACGCGGTGAGGTAGGCGGTGTCCTCGTTGCGGTCCTTCCACACGGCGCGCCAGGACTTGAGGACGGGGCAGGGCGTGGCGGCGCGAATCTCGGCGGGGGTCGCCAGGCGCTGCTCGAGGATGCACTGGATCATGAGGGAGTGGGACTCGGCGTTGAAGGTGTAGAATTGGGAGGAGATGTGGGGCTCGGGGCTAATGTACGCGAGGGCGTGGGCGTGGTGGTGGGAGGAATTCTTGTCGCCTCCGACGCCGCCGCCGCCTTGGGCGGGGAGGGCGCCGGCGCCGGCGCCGGCGGCGGAGGAGGAGGGCTGGGAGACGGAGTCCTCGTTGTCGGAGGACGGGGAGTGGGAGTCGGAGTCGGAGGTGCGGAAGAGGACGATCTCGGGGAGGGAGAAGGTGGGTTCGTCGGGGGGATCCGGGTGGGGGACGGACGGCTGAGATTCGGGCAAGAGAGGAGGTGGGCACAGCTCGTGGTGGTGGTGGCGGTGGCGGGTGGTGGTGGTGGAAGAGGTCGTCTTCAACCTTGTTTGGATTCATTTCAAGGAAGCGGAAGGCACCAAAGGAACGATTTTTAGAGGGAGAGAAAGAGAGAGAGAGGGGGAAAGGTCGAATTTTGCTCAGCGAACTGCAGAGAGGGAGGGAGGATTCGAGAGTGGGGGAGCAGAGCGTTGGTGGGTCTTCGGCTTCTTCTTCTTCTTCTTCGTCTCCTCCTCCGGGTCTGACATTTGGGGGGGCACTCGAGGGTTTTGCTCCTCTCTCTCTCTCTCTCTCTCGTTTCTCTCTCTACAGAGACCTGCTCTATCTGTAGTGCAAAAGTCTAACCCTCCCTCCCCTCTCTCTCTCTCTCTCTCTCTCTCTTCTTCTTCTTTCAGTTCGATTCGTGTGTTTTTTTCTGTTCTTTGTTTGTACTTTTCCCCTCTCTCTCTCTCTCTCTCTCTCTCTCTAAGAAGACTTCAATTTTTGAGCTTTATGAGTGCCACCCCCATTTCAAATTGAAGTTTCATCATCTCTATCAAAATTTTTAGCCCTCTATGCTCTTTGGAAATCTTAACTTCGACAAAGCTCGATTGTCTTTCTTAGCTTTGAGATAGCAAGATGGTCTCAAAATTGTTACTTGTCGGAATAAGCACCACGGGTCGAAAAACCAGTGTCGCAGCTTCCGTTAAGCGAGATAACGGGGCTCTCGAGATCAATCCCGTGCAAATTTTATGTTGTTTTAAAGAGGTTCTGCCCTGTGTAAAACGCACTTTAATGGAGTTTTAGTTTTTAACTGGTCGTGACCAGGAAACTGCCGGTTTAAACAGACATACCGAATAAAGTTCGTGAGTGGGAAATCGCTTGGAGGTGTTTAAATATGTCTACGGTGTCTTCATTTAAATTTTCTTGTGACAAACACGTGTGATTGGCTGAAATGCCATAATTTCTTCCGTCAACAATTCATTATATGATTTCGATTTTATTTACATGCCTATTATTTACAATTTATGACAATATTGCTCATCATTTAACTCTGCTAAATCATATCGGGTCGCATGACGTCACTTCAATCAAATTTACAAAAAGACATTGCAACTGAAATAGAATAAATTTATGGGGCCAAATTGAATGTGTCTCTCTCTACGCGCGCGTCATTTAGTCCTTATAAAACGTTTTTCTAAACACTTGTATTTGGTGATAATTCTTTATAATCTAACTTTGATGTTTGGTCTTATACTCGGTACAACATTACAAAATACTATTAGAGAATGCGAAATACTACTAGAGATTTTCATAACACGTTTACTAAGTTGGGGACCAAATACTCATAGGCACAAGCAAAACTAGCCCCATAAGGAAGTAAATTAAGCACGTGCCCTTTTAAGAACAACATGTAGAATTAGTCAATCATGTAATTACAATTTGCACTTTCAAAGTTAGTCCTACTTTAACTTGTTGACAAACTTGATACAATGTGAAGAAATGAAATTGGTCTATGGAAACTTGAGACTTTATGAGCGTTTAACAAGAAGATCTTTTTGCTTTTAGATAAAAATTTCAAATTAAAATGGACTGAATTTAACAACCAAGAGGGAAGTGAATTGGCTGTTATCGGAATTCCAAACTTTTTTCCGTATTTAAGTGCAGAACATCGTGTAGATGATGAAACGGTGATTTATTAACAAAATATGCAATGCAAGGCAAGTATGTTCTTATCAACATAATTGTAAAGACTAAGGGATAAAAGAGATTGCAAAATATTTTATAGTGATTCGGCTTTTCCACTCGATGACCTACTTCACTCTCCTAACATATCAACTCAGTATGTCCGCTAGTGTGATCTTTAAAACCTTTAACAGCCTTTACATATGAAATTTTATATCTCTACGAGGGACTATAGCTCACTTTATAAGTAGGGATGACCACCCGGGCCGGTTCAACTCGAAAACTAACCAATTCGGGTTCGGATTCCAAAAATAGGGAACTAGCCTTGATCGGTTTAGTTTCAAGTTCTATGCGCTGTACTAACTAGTTCTCCCCGACCACCTAGAACTGAATTGACTTTGAACTAGTTGACTCCTAATTTTAAGTAAGTTCTTTTAATCTTTTTATAAAATAAAAAATATTTGTTGAAATTGAATAGGTTTAACCTATTATTCTCAAGAAGAAAGAATTGTATTCATGTTTAACTCATGTATATTGTATATATAACAAAATGAAACAAAAACAAAAGGAAAATAACCAATGCGTTCTCGGATTGACCCTACAACCGGCTAATTCGGTTCCAAGCCGGTTCCAGGATCAACAAGGTCGGTTTTCAGAACCAAAAACTGGGAACCAACCCTAATAGGGTAGGTTCCAGGATTTCAGGTCAAGAAGTTATCTCTCTGGAATCGATCATCTCTACCTACGAGTATGCACATTCGACTTCATGCTTAAAGCACTCTTCACAATGACTACAACACTCTCTCAGAGAATTACAATCAAAATCACAAGCTTTTTCTCAAGATATAAGCAAACAGAATTAAGAAGAAATTTTGAGGGGGCTTTGATCAACTCGGCCAACCTTCAACAAACTATTTTGCAAAATGGAAACATCAGGGGGCATTTTGCAACAACCCAAAAAATCCTGTGGCCAAAATGTAATTTGGGCCCTAAATTGTGACGCTGCTGAACTACACGTTTAATTAGCTGAAAGGCTTTGAGATGTCGATGTATTCGAACCAATTTAACAAACTATTTTGGAAGGAAAAAAACATACATCCAAAACAGACTACACAAAGCTGCACATTTGCATGTTGTAACATCTTGAAAATAGATAGCTGAAGTTGAACTCGAGAGGCCGCTGGCGATACGCTTCGAACATTGCCAGTAATTCTCGGAGCCATGCGCATGTCTCTCGAGAAACGACGTCCCTTTTCCTTTGATCGAGGCCAAAGCCAGCATACGATGGGCATTGAGATCAGGAGACTACTGTCATAATAGCAGGTGATTACCAGGAGAACACACTCAAGAACGGTGCCCAGAATCATCTGTATTTCCTCTTTCACACGGCAAAGGTATATGTACTGCAGCTTAGAAGAAAACAAGAGCATTAGTGACTTACATGGGCATGCCTCGTCGCTCCCGATCAATGCATTTTATCTGCGTTGCTCCAGATTATCCTGATGCACATACGAAAGAGAATGAATACGATAAGATCATCTCGAAAGCACATATAAGTTGCTAAGTTTCTTTGGTAAACAAAGCGCTGCCCATGATACCAGAATATGACAATGACCACTAGTAGGAGGAGGTAGTAGAGCTTGAAAAGCCGTCGATTCTTTTCCCATTTTAGGTTGTTATATATCTCCGTCACATCGATCAAGTACCGGTTCCGCTTCCACCTGAAAACGGGCTAGTCAAATGAACCAGCTCTCATGTAAAGAGAGTATAAGCTACAAGGATTGCACTTTATGAACGAAAACCTAAAGAAGATGCACAATTTGGACGGTAACATTGATTTTTTCCTTTAACGAAGGATCTGTTAAAAAACATCAGTGGAGGTATGTTCTTTGATCAGATTTAAATCATTTGGAGAACTTCCATATGAAATGAAACAGAGATGAAGATCAAGGGAGACTCACAATCTGATGTTGTAAAATAGGTATGGAAGAGACAGCAAGAACATAAACCAGCGGCCCGTCACGAGATAAAAGAAGCATAAGACTCCTTGGGACACGAACTCGGGCAAGACGACCTTGTTGATCCGAGTCGCCGCATCGTATTGGTTGATGTAATCGATTTCCAAGTCCGTCAAGCAAATGATCTGCAACAAAAGCATGCTCTCAGAACCAAACCACAAGACTTCTGAAGCTATGTTTGTTCGCTGTTCAGGTCACTTTCCAATGCTCATAATCAAATAGTATGTTCAGATACAGAATACATCACCCATTTCCAAAATCAACATTTAATTAGTCTTCCACCATCATTATGCCAAGAAATGACAGTCAAGTGTTCACCCAGACCATGTTCGATAAGGAAAACTCTCAATAATGCAAACATGTTCATGGGTCCATTTTTCTAAGCGATTAAAACGATTGAAATTCTAAGAAATATATTTTTTAAAATTGCTGATTTTTCGTGGAGAAAAATAAAAACAAAGTCATAAAAGAAAATCAAAGGAAGAGTCAGAATTACCTGATACCCGACCATGCAGAGAACAAAAAAAAGAAGAAGAAAGGCAAGGAACCATGAAAGCAGTTGATCCATGGCTTCAGAGTCCCTTTCTCCCTCTTTTTGCTTATGTTTTTCTCTGCAAATGTTTCTTTTCCATGTTAACCATGGCTTGACCTTTGGAGTAGATAAGCTTCTATTCTTGGATGTAATTTTGGAAGATTGCTGAATTTGGGGATTCCAGTTACCTGGTGACTGAATTCTGACCAGAAGAGAAAACAAGAACGGCATTGGCGATGAGAGGACTCGGATTTCTAATTTTGGATGATATCTATTTATGTTGGTTGATCACCTATTAATCCCACAAAAGATGTTTCAGATACGAATCTAATACGGTATCTATTTGCAAAATTAATTCTTTTCACGTACCATTGACTTGGACTTAACCGATTCATGTGATCAGCTAATCCGGCATGTATGTTTATCTCATGCATTATAAAAAAAGAATGGTGATTATTATCTATTCACTCCAATAATTCAATCAGCATCGACAATCGGTTCCCATTTAATAGATCGGAATTATAACTATCGACGTGGCAGTCGTCATCATTATTTGCATTCATCACTATCACATTAAGGAAAATAAAGTTAGGAAATGGAATTATGCGGTCGAAAATAAATTGAGACATGTGACATAATTCTGCCCGTTATCTTATTCTCTCTCTCTCAATCAAGTGGTCGAAAAAGGTACATTTTGATATGCATTTCGGATGTTTGTGTCAGTTTGACGACAAGAGGGGCATCTTATTTTATCAGTTGCATAGTCTTGGTTTTGTGCTGATGCTCGAGTTCAAAGGATCAAACCAAAATACGGGCTCTGGCAAATCGAATTAAAAACAGACCATCTCTGTTCTGTTCTGTCTCTGGTTGAGCTGGAGCTCGCCGTACTCTGCACGGACCATTGCTTGACGTGTGGACGAATCCATTCAAAGCTATATCCTCCATTACTAGACCTCCATGTGATCGTGTGGAGTTAGTGATTTATCTACAAGACGAGACCCTGAAACCAAGAACTCTCTGCTTCACCATCGTCACCTTGATCACCCCTCTGAATCTCATGGACACCCAGAATCAGGTCTCGCGTCTGCACTCGAAATCTTCCTCTGAGAACAACCCCCATCTGGAGATGCAAATGAACTTCGATTCTGGGGTTTTCTTTTCTCTGTTCTTTTTCAGGAGAGAGCTGCTGAGTCAGTCGAACCCCCAAAGCTCGTTTTGTATTCCAATTGGCAGAGTTCTTGTTCTTGGCGCGTGCGCTTCGCGCTGAGCCTTAAAGGTCCAATTTTCAGTCAGTGCTATCTTTTTTTCTTTTTTCCAGTTCCTTTTCGTTTCTCTTTTGGGGGGGAGCTTCTTGTTGTTTCTGGCATTATGATTAACCGGTTGTTGAGCTTATAATCTGAAAGTAACCCTGGAAGTTTGCAGCTGTTAAAAAGACCTTTCTTTTGATGATGCTTTTCAACTTTGTTCTTGGTTGGTGTGTAGGGATCTCATATGAGTATAAAGCGGTGGATCTCAGGAAACAAGAGCACTATACTGCTGGTAATTTCAGATCCTTCTTTTGAGTTATAGATCAAATTGTTTCTCAAGCTCTATGTAGGTAGGCCTCGGAGTGACAATGGAAAGATTTTGTATGCATAATACCGGCTGGCACGATTACCTCAGGTCTGTGAAATCTAGTGGAGTATGCTCTAGCTCTGATCGAAGTTGTGTGCTTGATTTTTGCAGAATTTGAGAAGTTAAATCCCATGCACTTCGTTCCGGTATTAGTCGATGGAGATATCGCGGTTTCAGATTCTTTTGCAATTTTGCTGGTGGGTGTTATTTAGGCTATGCAGCAAAGTTTACAATAAATTAGAGTTGGATGGACGTGTAACTTAGATGAGATCATCATTTAGGAGCCTTTCATAGAAGCTTCATAGCTCCCTTTTCGACTCAATGCATAGTTTCGTGGCCCTTTTCTTGATTCGATCAATTTGATTGGTTTGAGTGCATTTCGATTTTGAATTTTTGCTAAAGCATCTGTTATCTCTGCTCAGTATTTGGAAGAAAAGTATCCTGAGAGGGCATTGTTACCTCGTGATCCTCGATTGAAAGCACTTAACCTCCAGGTCATTTTTTTTGCGCTTTCCATTCCTTTAAAGTTGAAGTTTCCTGCAGATTTTGGGGATCATTTACACGTAACTTTGGAGTTTTTGCTGAATCACACATGATCAAAATTGATTAGATGAGATCTTCCATTGTCGTGCTCCTCATTACCTTATCCTCTCTGCTTTGTCACTTCACAACAGACTTCAGAATCAATTTGGTGGGTGTTTTCAGTAGAATGACGATTGGTGTTGTCATATGATTTGGCAGGCTGCAAGTATAATCAGTTCTAGCGTACAACCTCTTCAGATGCTGAATGTGCTGGTATAGTTCTGTTTGTAATGCTTTCTCTTAGGACCAGAGAAGTCTGTGAGATGCATACTTTGTTTTCTGCAGAAGTACATTGAGGAGAAAGCTGGCCCTGAAGAGAGGCTATCATGGGCTCAATATGCAATAGAGAGAGGTTTCCAAGGTAAAAGTCTCATTAAGACTGTACAAAGTGATCTCTGGAACTAACTTTAAAAGCATAAGAATGGACCTTGAATTTCTCTCTAGAAAGAAACATATGCTAAGTACAAGGACTCTGTTAATTCTTAGCTTGAGAAACACTGGGCTGTGCTTGCAGCTCCCCCGTAGCAAAGCATTAGTAATCACTTGAGCGTAATCAGAGTCCACCTTCAGTGAGGAATGAAGCACATTTTGAGCACACGGTGCAAAACATGATTTTCGAGTTGCTCACAAAACCTAGAAATTACTTTTTCGGCACTTGATTGAATAAGTGGCAGCAATGATAACAGATACCTTTAGTTCATCGACATTAGCAGTAGATGCTCCACCCCTCTTTGGCTTGTCTTCTCCTTGCGGTAATGTTATCAGTCTCTTTGCTTTTATTTGCTATGGACCTATGGTTAAAGCAAGCCTTTGACAAATGATTATAGCGTGGTTTAAATGATGGCATTGTTTAATTCTGTCACGTACCCTCATTCCAAAAATTGGGAGCCTTGTAATTTTTGTATATAGAAACAACGCTACTTTGACCACCATTTTTGAAACACCAACTAAAGTGAAGGCTAGGCACTCTTTTGAGGCTTAACAATCACAAGATCATGATGGTAAACAACTTCAAATTAAAGAATGGATATTGTATAACTTCTGCCATACATAATTGCAACGAGATTTTCACATTGGCAAGACATATTTATCAGGTCAGAAATTTGGATATCCAAACTGAAAGAGAAAGAAGAAAAGGTAGAACCATCTAGGTCGGCACAATTCCTGGAAGAGAAGAATAACTGAATGGCTAGAATTGTTCATAATAATTCTGCTCATGAGCCTATCTTGTTTGCATCTTAAATTGTGTTGTAGTCTCATAAAGTATTAATGGATATTAGCAGCACATGCCTGTATACCAAGCTGAAGATGTTTCTTAGCTGTGAATAAGACCAATTTCCTCCATGTGCAGCTCTCGAGAAGTTGCTTGAAAATGTTGCGACCAGATATGCCACCGGAGATGAAATGTGCTTGGTTTGCTTCTGAATCTTTACATCTTATCTTTCCTCTGTTTTCTTTTTTTTTTTTGTGTCTCTTAATCTCTACACCGACTCTATAACCTCAAAATTATCTAAATGAAAGAACATTAGTCCTACCAATGAACACATTGTATAAACTACGTAACAAGTATTTTGGACTTGTAAAAGTAATTGTCAATTGTCAAAATGTGCTAATGAGGGAAGGTAGCTAGCAATTGCTGTCCTTCCATGCTATTAACTCGTGTGTCTGCCTAGAAGTATGATTCTTTACTTGATATTGTTACTCTTACTTTGCCATTCGTGCTGGGGGCCATCTTTAAAGATGAACTGCCTATTCCCACTTCAGCTCGACAGTCGATTCATTTTTCATGCTTCTGTTTGGGACTTAGATTCCCATATGAAATGTGAGCAGGTTAAACTCGTTAAAATGACGCATGAGAAGATTAGAACATGTCGTACCGTGTATCCCTTGTCCTGACGCTCTTCTTTTTGAAACAGTGACTGGACTTGAATGATGTAAATATCACGAATCCCCTGATACTGATTTCGTTTATCGCACTTAAGTGAACGCAGTATTAACAACCTGAGATGTACGTTATGCAGGCTGATGTGTTTTTGGCCCCACAAATAGCTACTTCAACCTCGAGATTTCACATTGACATGGTGAAGTTCTTTCCCTGTCTCTTTGTCCATGATCAGTTCATTTTGAGTTTGCTATTATGGTGCCTGTTTCTATCTTGTGGTCATTTGCATGTGCATTATTCTTTCCTGCAAATAGCGAAGCATCTTGGAAGAATCAGTGAAAGCATTCCCTTGCTAGGAAGATTTTTCTGCGAGTACTTGATGAGAGGATTATATACTATCCCACCTGAATCATGGTGCGATTTCCATAGACAATTCCTTGGTTTTCAAAAGCTAAGCGAGCACGCCTTTCAGATATGTTATATATACTTCTCTTTAATGAAGATAGCAAATGCAGATCGATTCTGCTTAATGTTAGACAAGTATGTTGGTGCCACCTCTTTCGAAGATCTTATTTTTGGGTTTAGTTGTCTCGCTGGGAGAATTTTCAAATTGCAAATACCAAATAGGGGTATAAAGATCTTCAGACGAGAGGGCCCTTGCTTCTCAATTCACAGTTCATCTTATGCGAATCTACCGCCATGTATCATAACTGTAGATATGTCTTGCAAGCAAAAACATATGAAAATATATTCATGATGCACCTCGAGACCGAGACTGTCTTTATGGTATGGCACTGCGTGAGGGTTTTCTAATGATCCACATTCTGGATTGGAATGGTTAATGTCAGAGCTTTGCAATTCTCGAAACCCATCGGTGCTAGACTCGTGGATCGAACATCCGTGCATGTTGTCTTTACACTGCTGCTTGAGTAACGTAGCTGAGTCCCACATTCTTCATTGCAGGCCAAGTTCCCTACTTTGAGGAGGATACACGAATCGTACAAGACTCTGCCTGAATACGAAGCATCGTTACCGGAAAGTCAACCTGATGCCACGAGCTGACCTGGGTATCTCCTTCCCAATCTCAAAGTTGGAAGCCGAAGAGTCTCGGTATCAGGCGTCATCTCTGCGATGACGCTCATTCTCTCGCTTTCCATTGCACTGTCTGTGCCATGGCATGTGAGTTTGACTGTAATCATGTGTAATAGTGACTTCCCATTTTATTATGCTTCATGGGTACGTATGCTTATGACCCCCTTGCTGGTGGTGCTTGTCCTTACGTTTTTGGTTGGTCGCCAGCCCATGTTTATTGGTTTTCTTTCGAATTCTCGTCAAGTTGCTACTCTAAGTAAGACAGGGTTGTATCGTTTCTTTATCAAATGTCGGGATCTACTCTGAAATTTGCTGTCAAGTGATGAGTATGTGCTTCCATAGCACTAAGAATCTTGCAATCCACATTACACGTGAAAAGATGGACTTCTTGTTACTCTTGACTTCCAATCTATTCGGTACGGTCGACATTGACTTCATGGTCTTTGCTCAAATACATTCTCCAGTAAGTGCCCGATTCCATGATCACTAGTCCAGTATCTCTCAAACCCGTTCTTCACATTCAAAATTTTCATCGCGAGAAAAAAGTGCAGATCTATACTCAATCCCTTAGGAATCATGATGTTGCGAAGTTTCTTTCTTCCTTGGATTTAGTCACTTCTCTATAACACTAGGCTCATCATGAAGAATGACTGGTTTTGAAGACCACATGTTCACCGTGACACTATTGGGATCAGCTTAAATTAACCGATATGCAGTCAAGCATATAGACTCTAGTGTTCTACGGAATTAGTGTTCAAACTTGTCAATGCGCATCCGCATATGTTCGGCCCCCTACTCTGAGGCTGAGTTACTCAAGTAGAAAATGGGGCTTCAGCTACCCATGCAAATTGGAAAGTGTAATAGCCTGTCCCAAAAAGCAAGCATAATAAAAGGAAAAGCACTCGATTGAGCCGCCCAGATCAGTCCGGCTCAGATACATTAGATTGTCGTCACCTCGGAGTTCAGCCACCATCTCAGGCACAACCTTCTCAATATTCCCCCCAAAGAACAGACAAATAAACAGAAGGAATACAGCAAACTCTTCCTGTTAGATCCTGTATTAGGTCAAATTTATCGGCAAAATTTTTAAAGAAAGACTAACAATGTCGAAGGACGGACTGTATGTCCGGATGCTGTCAGAACGGACGGTGTTAGAACGTTCCATAGGACACCCAGAGGTTTCTTGTGAAGAGTGACTTGGCTCGGATATAAGTTAGAACCCCACAATGCACCTCAAATGGCAAAGCATATTCGCCAGAGCAACCTTCACTTTGTTCTGATGCTGAATATCAGCCTCCTGTATTAACTCATCTATGAGGTTTGGGGTAGTGGGGCTGCCCAAAGCTTCACTTTTTTATCAACACTGGCAGTCGCCAAAACATCAACTTTTCTATCGCCTGTGAGAGAGAGAGAGAGAGAGTTAAATAAAAAACAAAAAGAAAGAGGCGACTATAAGCATCTCTACCCATGCATATGGTAGTGCATGGATAGAGAATAGCGGAAAAGTTGAAGCAATTCTATGCTCTGATCAAGAGAGCTCATAAAATAAAAAATGAAAACAGGTGACTGATAAGCATCTCTATCCATGCATGTGGTAGTGCATGGATAGAGAATTACGGAAAGGTTGAAGCAATTCTATGCTCTGGTCAAGATAAGGATGTATTGTTCCAGTTCTCTCTCTCGAGTTGTCTCATCTCATGCAGGCCTCAGTATGGTGGGGCAACGTGCTTTTCTAACAAGTGAAATTTCTTTTAAAATGCCGCATCATGCGAAGTGCAGGCTCCTCAGTATCCACAGATTTATTCATAATAGAAGAACAGTGCTTAGTGACATCAATATAATTTTACCTGTCGGAATACTCTGTGGCGCCCAGGACATGCATGTGATGTCACCTGCATTTAGGTATAGTTGTGAGTGAAATTATACAACATGGGCCAAAAAAAGAACTGTAAAACTCAAACTAGGAATGCTGATCGAGTCCATTGGCTGCCACTGAAGAGAATAGAGAATAAAGATCGGTTGCTGCACATAAAATCTTATAATGGGAAATATATTCATCAATTGATAAGTCTTATCATTTTAAGAAAAGATTCTCATTGCCCTTTATGATTCTAGGGGCTTGGGTAAAGTAACATCTTTCATTTCTTTTATTTTTTGCAATAAACAAAGGAAAAGGTAAATGAGGAGAATGCGCAGGGGCTAAGCTAAAGACCCAGGTAACTATCTCATTTTCAACCACACTGCCCATGCAGTCTTGCAATCTTTCTATGTTTCAATCCAAATCTCGATGAACACGGAATGAAAAGTAGAAAATATAATGCTTTACATGATCAATTCACATTACAGGATTTCTAGTATACTTATTCATATATGCAAGCAAGAATATACACTATATGGCCTTTAAGTTTTTCCATTTTCTGCTGGGAGTTCGGAGGGATGGAGTTGGTTATTGTGAAAAAATGGTGGTGACCTTCAACTAATCCCATCGACCAGTCTTGTCATTCAATCCACAATTTACCATCGCTTGACAAATAGATCAACACTGTAAAGCCATAGATAAAGAAGTTCTGCCATCTAGAGAACCAACACCAATCATTTAACTGGACCATAAAACTTCATGCATCACTTATTGAGGATCAAAAAGGAGGAAATGCTTCATAGAAATGTTACTGGCTGGGGCATACCATCATGAGCTCTTTCAGCTGTGTCCAAAACCTTTCCAGTTTCAATGCACAGCCACTGCAACAATGAACCATGGGTTGCTGCCAGTATCTTTCCATCAGGGGATAGACTGAGGCGATCATAGTGTAAAGTAGCACCACTTGAATCTTGCAATGGGATTGGAAACACCTTTAAAGTCTTTGGATCCTCATCAAGGTGATATCGAACTTCAAGGAATAAAGAAAGAAACTTTAGAACTAAGAAGTAGGAATTTGAAAAATACTAAAACAAAGAAATGGGATAAACCCCGCAAAATATTATTAGCGTCTCAGTTGGACGAAAGGTATATCATATTTCTCAATCAACAAATGCTGTCTTCGGTAGATAAGAAGTTAACTTGGAGAAATATCAACTTCAATGACTCCAGGCAAAATACAAAAGCAAAACCCAATCAGCTGATCATAATTCTATCCTCAAATATTCTGTTAGTTGTTTTGCCCCAAAGGCTCATTTAACATAAGGATAAGCTAGTTATTTGCACTTGCAAAGGCTCAAACTAACAAATATAGTAGACTAAAATCTGCCCATCTCTTCCCTCCTTTTCATTCCATGAGGCCCTAAACCCCAACTGAAACATTCAATTTCTATAGAAATTGGTGACAGGTGAGTTTGATCAAATGAGACTAACACTGACAATAGAGTATAAACCCCCTTCCAGAATCGTTGATAAACTGCAGCTAGTTCATCTTCTGACAATAAGCCTACATATCTTTTGATTCTTTGTGCAGTACACAAAGAATAACTTTGAGCATGCAGCCCATACTTCAATATTGAGCCAACACATTATACCGTTCAGGATGCATAAGAGACATGAAGGAGCCACTTCTGTACAAAAAAAAATGCAATTAATGCAACAAGCAGTAAACAGCAAGTAAGCAACTTTAATATCTCCGTTTCCTTGTGCTTTTTTAGCCTTGCCCAACCCCACCCCAACCAAAAAGTGGGGGATGTATCAGAAATGCGCAGTCAATTGACTGGGATAGCACGTACCGTTGATATTCCAAATTCTCATAGAGCCATCCTTCGATGCAGTAACTATTTGTTCTGAGTTTGGAGTGAAGCATAACCAAGTCACTGCACTCTAAATATGAAAACAGGAATTTAAGAAATGAAAGTACGACCTTTAGGTATTAAAACATTATCATGACAAAGCACAATTACCACAGGAAATTAGGAGTCTTAACAAGAAAATATAGCTATCTGGAAAACTATAATATCATCCGAATCAAAGAAAACCTATAAAATAGAAAAATTTAAACAATGGGAAGTCCAATACCTCTTCCTAAGAAAACGGGTTTATCATACCTTGCCAAACCTGTCAGTCAAAAACCTTAAACCTGACCCAAATGAACTCTTTTGACTCTTGACATGAATCTATTCTTCTAAATGCGGGGGGATTTCTTTCAACCTCACTGAATGTTAGGTTCTGCTTTATGAAGGGAATGATGCCTTAGGAGTTGTTGCTATGCTACAACTTCAAGGACTTTGTGGCAAATGTCTGATGTGTGGAGATAACAAAATCAACTCTAAATTATCAAAAAGAGAGACAAAAGTGCAAGCCAATTATAGTTGGATATAGCTCGCAGTTTGTGGGAGTTTAAAACAAATGTAAACTCCAACATAAATGGAGGATGGCTCGAGAAATTGTTAAGCATCAAGCCAAGGCGGGATACGTGAATGTTGTGCTGGTCAAATCCTATGGATAACTCAATCGGAGAGGAAAGGAGAAAGGATAACTTATTTAGGGTCAACGGGCGTGCGTAATGCAATCAGAAATCAAAGCCACCAACATAGATCAGGCAAGGTGGTTTCTCTGGTTCCTTGGCAATATGGATGGCAAATTATATGCTTTTGGGGTTTTGTCATCCCAAGTTAAATGTTTACAGGTAAAAAGGTTGAACCCAACTCTGCCTGATCAACGGAATTTCTTCCAATGCCAGATCCAGTCAAGCGTGTTCACTGCTTCAACTGAGTCAAAACCTGTTTTTGACCAATTCATGGTCCAAACAAAATGAAGTGGCATTGAAACAGGTAGCCAGCTAGTCAGGTCCAGTTTTAAAATATGTGACATGAATATTTACACCCCCTACACATGCATAGCATGGTTATTCCTTACTAAAAGACATGACTCTAACAAAATTATCATTGCTGTACTCAAGTTATGCTTTTGTTGGTTTTCTCCACAAAGATTATAAGAAAAAGTAATGCATCTCAATTCACAGCAGCATGAATAAAACAGATAATTGAATGGAGAAGACACTTGGCCAAATATAACTAATATTGGAGAGCATTCATAAACTTATTGACCTTGTGTCCCTTAAGCTGCATGACTCTTGTAACACCCTTCACAGAACCATCTTTTGAATAAACAATCTCCCAGACCTGCCAAAACATATGCACTCAGTAAACATAACAAGAAGCACAAGACTGTCACATGCATGGCAACATGTACCACAACAGAGTGACAGATTATCTGCCTAATTTAAAAACTGCAACTCAATCTGTTTCTCAGACATGTTCACTGAAAGCAAGAACACCAGGAATTCTGTTGAGACAATGAAGATACTACGTTGTCTAGTACCTAGTAGTGGCCAAGGGAATTAAACTTTTAGAATAGTGTAGATATAGGTGGAGTGAGCACAAAGTTCTTACTTGCAATTACTCTCTCCATATTCAAGTTCTTTCGATTGAGAGTGAGGAGGCTTTTGGGTGAGGGCCATCTTTTGATAGCTAAACCCAAGGATGTGTTTTGTCCCAAATAAAGTTTTGACTAAATATTTTGTCGTTGTCATCTTTAATGAATATTCTAAAAGTTTACAACATGAACATGGTTTGATTTTATGATAAAGATGCTTGTAAATTGGTTTTGATTTGCAAAATTGTGGCTCTTCAGTTTTCTTCGTACTTATGATATAAGATCAACAAGACATGAATATATTTTATGAGATTTCTACTTTTGACATTTAGTCATAAAAAACCAATGTTTCGTGATATTTCAATTCAAATACAGTAAAAAATGGCGGGTTTGTAATTTATATATAAGACCTATTCCTATCACACAGCGGTAGAAGATGAAATAATTGCACATCATTCATTTCATGGATAATATGCTTATCGGACACCAAACTATTGATGATTTGATAGACTGCAGTCACTATCAGACATAACCCAGATATACTATCCAAAAAAAGCACTATTTCAGCTGAACAATTAATCAAGGATGATGTACCTTGACATCGGCAGTAAAAGCTGCGGCAGCAATAAAACGCCCATTGGGCGAGATAGCAGACATAGTGTTTTTCAATTGATTTGTATCGACATTCCCCAAGATCTTCCCAGTTTTTGCATGCCATATTATGATGTCAGTTCCTGGACAGGATGCAAAAGATTACTGCAAAATATAAAAGTTTATACAGCTTTAACATAATATGCTAACTGACCATTGTGATGTTCCATCAAGAATGTTACTGCAAAGACGAGAAACTACATTTGCCGGTCATTCTTATAATTCTGCTAGTTGTAACAACTGAAAATAGCCATCACCTTAAACCTCAAATACATTACTATGTAACACCTAGTTAATAGTTGTACGAATTTTGAAGCTCCTACTAAAGAATTCAGAGACGTTAGAAACACAGACAGCCTCTTTGGCGATAGAAGGTTGAAAAAGAGAGGAGGAGAGAGGACCACACAAATGAAGCAGAAAAGTGGCAACATGACACCAGTCAAAAAGAAGCCAGAAAAAAAAAATTAAATTCAAGCTCTAGCAATTTATCCCAAAGACTACTTTCTATACAGCTTCAGATCCCTCCAAGAGGAAGTCTGTAAACTTTTACGCATAATGATTCATTAAAAGGCATTAAGTTCCACTCATCCCATGTACAAATATATTAACGGGTGCTATCAAGACCACAATAATGGCACAATGTTTCATATTCCAATATTGATTCCTTTGTGTAACCTGATATAATTATTTTCCATATCACTGATTCAAACTATGAAAATATGAGCGATATCTAGAAACTTTGCATTGAGCTATTAATAAACACACTAGCACGCAAAAAATTGTTTTTTCATCAATTCAAAGTCCAGAAAGTCTGTCGTTTTCAATTTCCTTCCCACACAGGCAACAACACTAGGGGGAAGACGATAAGAGTTTTCTGCACAGTCAGTTGGAGTACTTCTAAATGAATTAACACCAATCAACTTAACTCATGAAATCTCAATCTCAATGTTCTACCTCAACTATGTTTACTAGATGCATGAACGTTGGTTATTTCAAAAGAAATTCGTGTTAAAACAAACATAAGATTGAGCTAGTTTAGGACACATTTTGGAGATAAACTCCGCACCTTCTGAACAAGATGCAATTATTGTACTACTGTCGCCACTGTCATAACTTGCAGTAGCCCCAGAAAGGGTCAATATTGCTCTCTGCTCGTGTACTTTGTGATGCTCCCACTTGATTTCAGGCATAGGTAGCTTAGGCTGCTGCTTATTGCTGTCCGAATTTTTGGGCTTCTCCTCTCCATACATGTACAGAGAACAACCAGACAAATTTTGAGATGCCACAATTACCGATGATACATCATCACCAAATGCAACAGCAGTTGGATGGCCTCCAGCAGGCAAGTTAATCCTCAGAAATCTGCAGATGAGAGTTGTCAAGTTAAAAATTAAACAACGTGATTAATCGCAAAGCTTGTGAGAGAGACGTACTTAAAACTTTTGTTTGAAGCATCATCCAACTTGAACACCCTTACAACACCATCAGCACAAGCTGCATGTAAATAAGAGATGTATGAATCAGATCTCACATTAATAAAGCCACTCAATAGTATTCTGTTTTAATTGAGGATGGATGATGCATTCTCTTTCCAGCAAAGCAGAAAACCATTTATATAGCAATTGAGTACTAAGGATCCAAGTCACCTTCTTCTGCATCTTCCTTTACAAATTTAGATGTACTATTACACCTTGGCGAAGCAAAACAGAGGATAAATCTCAAAGTTCAAGAGCTGGCACTTTCATTTTCTGTCCAGTTGACACAAAAACTTTATAACAAAAAGAGCATCCTACACACATGCAAAGTGATGAACTTCTACAGAATTGACTTGTATCGAAATGCAATTTTTTAGCCTACTTGAACACAGAAATTTCAGATAAAGCACACAGAACACAATTTTACATTTGATTCTCAACTGATTTGATGGTATATGAGCAAATGAATAAGGATACTTCAAGATTTCCACACCAAACACCTCATTGCATTTCACTCTTTTGTAGATCGACCTCTCATATATCAAATAAAGAGCTAGTACCGTGTTCAGTAAGAAGGCACAAATAAAGGATAATGTTTCTCACTTTTCTCTTCATAGCAAGGCCCTGGCAGAGAGCTCTTCTAACATATCAACGGAAACGAGGGAATGCAAAGCCTGTATTATTTTTTCCTTTTTTAAAGAATTATGGTTAGGTGAATGAGGCTAGAGGATATTTCATGGTCTAGGATCTACCTAGCTAGTTGCGCTTCCTCAACATCAAAGTACAAGTATGATGAATGGACTAACACAGAGTTCTCTCATCCTCCATAATAAAAAACCAAAACAACTTTTACGTAACAATGCAGAGATTCGAATTGACTACCCTTTTTACTACTACTTATGACCACTTGTTTCCTTGGGTCACAGGGAGATAAAGAGATTCAAACCTTGGTTTCATTTTTTAAGACCATTTTTCGACTAGCTTTCATCCACTAAGATTCACATGCACTTATAGAAAAGTCCATTTTTCTTGCATAAAGAAACAGTAAAAATCACTGAAGATAACATCAAAAAATGTTAATTAGCATTCATTTAGTAAAATGCAACACATGAAATATGGATGCTACTTTCCATGCTAAGCAAAGAAACTTACAATTTCAAAAGAAAACCATCCCACAGTACGATGCTTTAACCTTGAGGTCACATAGTGTTGAATAATTTTCTATGTTTATAGATATCATATCTTCCGGTGTGAGGAACCTTATGTTACCTGTTGCCAAACTTCGTCCATCAGAAGCGAAACATAGCCCTGTGACTGAATCACCATGACCTTTTAAAGTATTCAGATCCAAAGGATGATGCCTCTTGTTTTTATCCTACATTCCAGAATTACAAAGCAAGTAAAATACACAAGCTAATATTGCATGGACGATAAAAGCTTAGCAACTAATCTCAAGAAAGACAACAAAAAATTTACAAAAGGAGGGCAAACTCAAACAAATCTCCATGGAAGTTGAAAAATAGTATGTATGAACATCGCTTGGACACTCAGAAACTGCTGCATCAGAACATCAAAGTCGGTCCATCATTGACCGGCTCACTCTTTCGACACTCCTACCTTTTTTATCACTAGCATTACCATAAGCAGCACAGAGCCAGCCAATGAAGATTCGGGACGACTCGGTCATACTGCTTAATAGACATTTTCGCCACCCAAAGCTCCCAAATCAAACAAAATGAACTAGATTTAACCCCGGAATCCGGTCATCGCTTCTTCATTTCCCCTCTTCGCTTGTCGAAGCAATTCAATCCTCATCCGATTGAAGCACAAAGCAAAACCACAACGCACAAGCAAGTCCCAAACGCTAATCTCTCCTTCGCCACTGCTCCATTTCTACTCAGCCGCACTAAATGAAGCCTCCGAAACAGCGCAAAACGAAGCGATCGGTACCTTATCAGCGCCATGAGCGTTGGACCTGGCGTGAATCTTCCTGGCGGCGGGCTGAGGAGGCTTCGCCGGGTTCTTGTGCTGCGGCTGGAGGTCCGCCGCGGCAAGGGACACGACCTCGGATCTCCGCTTGCGGAAGTAATTGCCGAAGAAAATGAGCGCGATCGCGGCTCCGACCACCAGCGACGCCACCACGATCGCGACGGCGGAATCCATGCGGCTTCTGATCGGAGACGATCGATCGGAAAACTTTCCCGGCGCCGATTGGATTTTGAAGCAGCTTCTGGTTCAGGAGGTTTTACTCTGGAACCAAAGAAGAAGATGGAAGAAAGTTCAAAGGGGTTTATGAATTTATACTGTTCAGGGATAATTGCACACTAGCCCCTGTACTTTAGGGTCGATTACAATCCAGCCCCTATGGTTTCGATTCTTCGGCAATTGACCCTCCATCGTTTTTTTTTTAATGTGACGGTTATACCACTTACCATTGACATGTCGAGAAACAACCCGATCGAAAATTGGAAATGCACAATGGTACATGCCAAACATGATGAGGCTCGTAGCAAGCTTGTATGTTGATAAGTTCGCCACATCGTATTGTGAAACTTTCTATGTATGGCCAAATCAAGTTTTTTCTTCTGAAGTCGATGAATCTGATAATAGGTTTACATAGATATGTTATTTTGTTTAAATTGAATCTCGCAACTCATGCATTGTGATTTTTTTTCTTAATTCAAAAAACCTCAAACTTTCACAAAAGTTGTTGACGACAATTATCGACATACCCTTAGGTTTATATCATATGTCATATAAAAAAGTAGTTGTCGATAAACTTCGGTTCCCTCCATATTACTTCATTTTGAGTACAGAAAATGACGCAAATGATTTTTAAATTTTTACTCAATGTACAATGTGGTTCATGAGCTTTTAATATATTCAATGTAATTCATAAACATTTAATTTATTCAATGTAATCCTTAAACTTTTTATTTTTTAATAAAAAAAGAAAATTCTAGAAAAATACAACCTATAAATTTAATTATCTCTACATTTATTATTATTTATTAAAGGAACTCACAGCAATTACTAACAATAAATTTTATCTTTGTGCTCAATTTCTTAGTATTTGATGCTTGCTTCATAGTTATCTCACATCTCACTTTCACTCCAATTTTAATTTTGAACCATCCACAGTCTCTCTCTCTCTCTCAAAATATTTCCTTTAAAAATTGCCTAATTAATTAAAAAAAACCTCAACTTTAGGTGCAATTTCAATCATGTCCTGAACTTTTTTTGTCAAAAAAAAAATCCATAGCATTCACTCTAATTTCAAATCTGCGAAGTGTCCAAAAATCGTTACTGATTTCTTCAAGATTATCTTGTAAGTCACAAGAGAATATCCGATCAGCATGGAAGAGAACGTGTAGAGCGAGTGAATTTCGAAGAAAAGTTCTCTCCAACCGCGAGCCATCCTCATTCTTAGCGTACCTCCGGCGAGCTACTTCATCGCCGCGATCACCTGCACCATAATCAATCATCCACATGCACACACACATCACCAAGAGACAACGATCCACACATATTCTTCTTCTGTTTTTGGTTGCTCACATTCAATTGCCTGATTTGGATCATTTCAATTCTAATATGATTTTGTTTGACATTTTTATGTGCTTGCCGATTAGGAAATTTCCTTTTTGAGCTGTGCATATAATCGAGGTTTCGATCTTTAAGACTTAAGATCGGATCACCGATTATCATTATTTCCTATTTTTTAGCGTGTCGAATCTTCAATTATGTGGGTTTTGATTATTGCAAGCGATTATTTGCATTGCATTTTAGGATAGAGTGCTTCCATATGAGTTTCCTAGTTTAGAATTTCATATCTAGAAATCATGTACTTGTTTGGATAGTTTACATAGTTGCCTTCAGTTTCAGTACTTTTAATTTCTCGTCAATCTAGTTTTCTATTCAAGAATCAGAAAATGACCAATCACCTCCTTTGTCGATTGGTTCATCGATCCATACTTTGAAAGGTTTTCTATCGACACTTTTTAACGGCGACATTTATATATACTTGCTAAGTCATTCTCCAGCTTTTGTGTGGAATAGGGGATGGGTAATTCCCCTTTCTCTTTGGGTTGATTAGATATAGATTTCTTCGATACATTTCCAAACGAGTAAGTGAAGGAATTATTGGAAACCAACGGACAGCAGATAGCGCAAATTTTCCAAACGCAAGCCGAACTCCATTTGGTACGACCGGAACATAATGAACAATTGAACATGCAAAACACATCAAACGTTATTTTCTTCTCCAAACTTGGGCCCAAAATGGCCCAGCGCCCAGCTGCACCGGATCATGTCGTCAAACATTTCCTCGAGCCCATACTTGTGCTCGAACCCGGCATCCAAGAGCTTCTTCGAGGACATGCTGGTCGCCTTTTGATTCTTCAACTCCTTCATTTTGCTGCAAAACATGCCCGGCAGATTTCAATCTTTGTGCGATGAGTTGAGGAATCAGTGTTGAATGTTGAGGAAAAACTCACTCTGGGATGGGTGATGTTGAACTCGGGGTATCTTTTGGACAAGAATTCGACCAGCTCGCGAGACCTTAACTCAACTGCTCGGCAAATGTACCTACTCTTCACGTTTGGGCTCTCCATGAGGAATATGTGAGCCCTCGTTCAGTCGTCCGTGTGGACGAAGTTCCCGGGAAAAGTGCCAAAAAAGTCCTAAACTTTTTGCATTAGTGTCAATTTAGTCCTAAACCTTTTTTTGGTGCCAATTCAGTCCTAAACCTTTTGCATTGGTGCCAATTTAGTCCTAAACCTTTTAAATTGGTGCCAATTCAGTCATAAACCTTTTGTTTTTGTGCCAATTTAGTCATTCCGGTTAATTTTGACCGGATTTTGCCGACGTGGGGCGCTGCCGGCCGACGGCGGTCACAGGCGGCGACGTGGTGCCGACGTGGACAACTTTAATATTATTTTAATATTTTTTGAATTTTATTTTTTTCCTTTTTTTTTTTTTTTTCCAATTTTTTTTTTTGGTCTCTCCCTCCTCCCTTTGGCCGGTCGCCGGTCCGGCGACTGGCTAGAGGCCGGCGAGCTCGACCAAGGCGAGCTAGCCCTCGCCGGGCGAGGCCGCCCTCGCTAGTGGTCGGCGAGGTCGAGCTCGCCGGCCTCTGGCCTCTGGCCGGTCGCCGGATCGGCGACCGGCCAGAAGGAGGAGGGAGAGACCAAAAAAAAAAGTGGAAAAAAAACGATAAAAAAGGAAAATAAAAATAAAAATTCAAAAAAATATTAAAAAAATATTAAAGTTGTCCACGTCGGCGCCACGTCAGCGCCGGTGACCGGCCGGCAGGCGTCCACGTCGGCAAATTCCGGTCAAAATTGGCCGGAAGGACTAAATTGGCACAAAAACAAAAGGTTTAGGACTGAATTGACACAAAAAAAAGGTTTAGGACTAAATTGGCACTAATACAAAAGGTTTAGGACTTTTTTGGCACTTTTATCCGAAGTCCCCATGGGCAAAAGCTTGTCCCATTGTAAATTGCCTATAGCATAAGGTCGCATCAAGTACGATCAAGAAAAGAGCAATTTGGTTTTGTTAGTTGTTGTTTTATCTTCGAGAGTGTTTTGTTTTTGTCGTGAATTGTCAAATTAAGCAAATTTAATTGCGTGCATCAAGATTTTTAATCGTGAAAATTTCCCCTAGACTGTGTAGACATTCCATACTCCGGAGAACCTTGATCGTGCCTAGCTTTGTTGATTAAGATTTTTTAGTCGTTCCCTGGTATTTGTGCTTTCTCATTTCCAATAGAACTTTAGTAGAAATCAAGAAAACACACGTCATTGCTTACCGGCCACTAAGCCGAGGGCTTTCTCCACGCACTCCGGCATAAAGGGACTGATGAAAGGCCCGATCACCGTGGGAGGAGCACAGGTGACGACCTCCAATCCGTTCCGCTCTCCGAACTCCAGCACCATCTTCGACACCAGGTAATTCGGGTAGAGCGGTGACTTCCGGCACACCTCGAGTTCGCTCCACGTGCCCTTGTCGGTGACACCCAGGTCCTTGCCATGGAACAAGACCGCGCCGGCGGTGGCAGTGTACACGACCCGCTTAACGGTCTTGGCAGTGAGGCACGTCGTGAGGATCCACAGGAGGCCCCTGACGGCGATCTGCGTGATGGTCTCTTCCGGCGATCTCATGGTGTAGTCGATGGGATGCGTTGTGTGGAACACACCGACGCATCCCTCGATGGCCGGCCCAAAGCTGTCTGGGTCGCTTAGGTTGGCATTGACGATCTAGAGTCTCTCCACCGCGCCCGGTAAGTTTTTGAGATAGCTGAGGTCCTTTTTGTTTCCTGTCGCGATTTAACGGCAAGTGAACCATATGGAATAGCATAGCATTGCCAGGGATAGATTTATCAAATTGATCTAAAAGGTGAAGGTCACTAGCTGTAATTCAATTATTAAACAATCGAATTCATAACGCGACTCTTTTTTCTTTTTTGGGTTGCCTCTATTGATAGGAAACGAGGGCTTGAATTCCACTAGTTAATCTAGTTTCAGCTAGTGTGTGATTGTTAATGATACAACATCAAATTCAAGGTTATGAATATCAGGTCAACTAGAAAGCGTGTTAAACCTGCATATCAAGATATAAAATATGTCGCGCACCGCACTCTATTTACTTACGCTTTTAGAGCGGTTAGCAATGGTCCCGTACAATTCCGCACGATATGAAAAATGCACATTCTTTCGTCCACAAATATCGGTTGCGTTTGCGCAATTGAAACTTCCTTCGTCCAATCGGCCTTTGCTCGATGGAGAGTGTTAAGACATAGTATAATGTCGCAGCCTGCAATTATAAGAGCAATTGGCACGATTCCCACACACTTTTATAGTATGGTCCGGCTATCTCATCTCTCTTCAAAGCTTAATGATCTTAGGACGAGGACGGAAGAAAAAGAAAAAGTTAATACCACGAAAAATCCTAAACAGGTACACATGTGACAATTTTACCAAAAACTATTTTTTTTACCACAAAAAACTCTAAACTGGTACACTTGTGATAATTCTACCCCGAACTATTTTTTTGACCACAAAAAATCCCAAACTAGTACACTTGTAATAATTTTATCCCGAACTAATTTTTTAATATTATCTTTTATTTTTTCGATTTTTTATTTTTTTATTTTATTTTCTTTTTCGTTTCCTTTTTTTTTTCTTCATCTTCAACCTATGGCCGGTCGCCAGTCCGGCGACCGACTAGAGGCGGGGGCTAGTGAGGTCGGCCTCGCCGGCCGCTGGCAAG